GGGTCACATGGCATAGCATGCAGCCTGTATGGGGTGTGGCTGAGGTTGGGATGGGGAAGGCCTGTGGTTCAGTTAGAAGTTGGACAGCCCTGGGTTACGAAAAAGAAAATATCACAACTTACGCATTCTCCTCATCAAAGTTAGCTCTCTTGGAACCAATTTTGTAGAAGGAAGGGAGCTGAGGTGGCCCTGACTTCCCAAACCCAGCAGAAGAGCCAGCTGTTCCAAAAGCGCTATGGGACTGTTGAGAGAGCTTAGGTTCCTCTTTTTTTCCAGGGGCTATGGCAAACCCACCAAAACCAAAGCCTCTCTTAGTGCCAGGTCCACCTTTGTTCCAGTTCATGATGCTGGTAATATATCTGTTAAAATCAAAGTATACCAATTAACATTCTTTTAGTTTCAGGAAAACAACAAAAGTTTCAACAAAAACCACTCGCCCCAAAGCTTTCTACAGTTATTTTAAGAAGGTTTAGAGCAGGATGACAGACAATTAACTAGGATTTTGGGTTTTTTATATAGTAAATATGAGTACTTGTAGTCTATGTTTAAGAAAAGTATCCATCAGACACTGCTGAATAATCATTTAAGTCACTGCCTGACGTGTTGATCTTGTAATCTGGGGCAAATAAATCCACAGCTTGTAGGAAAAGGAGAGATGAAAAGTCAACTCAATAAATATTTTGCATTTCTCAACATTCCCACCTCTGAGCATATCACAGCATCGTGTGCACGGCACTGGTGAAATCCGGCCACTTGAAAAGAGGAGAGCAATAACTAATCAGCATGTGTGAAATAATGCAATTAAGAGAAAGGGAATTTTCAACAAAATTCCAAATCTCTTAAGAATAGTGCACCGGGATCTTTAGTGTTTATACACAGCACTTCAACTTTAGAGCTTATATTTGAAAGGCCCTCAACATAACATGTCTGCAGAGCATTCAGGTTTCTGTCAGAACAAGACACTATGCTGACACTACCAAAATTTGAATCCATAATTCCAAAGAATTTAGTTTTTCCCAACATTTGGAGTCATCATAGCCTTAAAGTACACAAGTGCACTCTCATTCTCTTCCAAGAGAGAAGGGTGCCCAGTCTTTTCAAATGCGTAATAATTCCAGGGCTCCTAGTTTGCAATCATATTAAACAACTGCCTGCAATGAGTGGGAATCCTTTAATGATATTATAATACAAAAGAAAAACACTTGTAAATTTGATATTAATATACTACTTCCTTAGCAGAGCATTTACCAGCTCAGAAGCTGCCCAACCAATCTGAAAGTCTAGAACACGGAGCTCGCTGGGATGTTTTGGGAAACACGGTCTTGCTTCTGTGTGGCAAAGGTTGACACTGATGTACTGTTATTCGCACTTGTGCAGACACCTCTCAGCCTTCCAACCTGCAGGCACGCGACAAAAAACCAAACATATAACAGGTGATGGAAACACAAAACACTTGGCTTTTGCTGCTCGCGCTGAGTTCAGGTTGTCGTCTCACTGCATGAATCAAATCCACTTTTTCTTCTAAATGAAAACTAGAAAAAAATTCCACCAAGTACAATACCAGGAACACCCGATCCCCTTTCTCATCTCACAAAGCACAACACGTCTGAACACAATGGCCACTTTCCTACTGACATCATGCGAAGGGGACTCGGACTCTCTGGCAATAAGCTGCAGGTTAAAACTTCGACGGTGAAGACTGTACAAAAAAAAAAAGTTTCCTTACTGATGTTGTTTTGGGAAAAAAAGTGACACTGAAGGTCTAGAGACCACCTTGCCCGTGAGAGAGCAGGACTCAGGCTTGCCACCGCTGCTCCCAAGCTCACTTTGCTGCCAAAGTTTTATGAGGAAAGAGACACGGAAAAGCTGACGTGCTCCCCCCGGGATCAGACACCCGGGAGGGGGGGGGGGTGCTGCATGCAGGCTGCACAAGACTGCGCTGCTCCTGGGGTAGGAAGGGAATGGCTCGCTCCATTCCGGAGCGGGAAAGGCAGGAGAGAAAGGCCGCCGCAGCCGCCCTGCAAGGGTCACGGCGCTGGAGGGGCGGACGCGGGGCTGGAGGCTACGCCCGCAGCAGCTCACGGAGCCCCGGCC